TGCTTTGGGGAATCCGGATCCTTTCAGAGCTCCTTTTTTTTTGGTTTAACAAACAAACAAATTATGTTTTTTGCTTTTCTTCTGAGGCTTCTCCATCTGCTTCCGGCTGATGGTGGTCATCTCCGTGCTGAGCTACGCCATCACCATGCCCTGGCTGGACTGGCTGGTGGACGGCAAGGAGCTGCGGTTTAACTGGGGCCTGGCCTTGTGCCACTACGGCAACTCCGCGGCGGAAGAAAACGAGTGGATGCCTAAAAAAGGGCGTGGCTTGTTGTTCAAAGGGTACTTTTTTTTTTGGTTGGTTTCAAGGCAAACAACAAACAAACACGCATTTTGAGCGTTTCCGCATTTTGACACATACCCCAGTATTGCAAGCGAGGGAACACGATTTGGCTTCGATTTGGTTCAAATTGAACCTACGAAACGTAGGACCTTTTGCTCATGGGGGGGAAGAGCAACCCAGTCTAATTTACCGTAATTTACCAAGGCTTTGTGGTTGAGTATGGTTGATCTGCCTGCAATGTGCTTGGCATCCACCGTGGACACAAATCCCCATGTCCATGGAAAGGACGTCCACCGAAGTGACCCATATCAGAGAGGCCTCTGACTCGAGCTTTTGTCTGGTTCTGATGAGTTTCAGATCACATTCCTTTCAACGGCGTCTCTTTGGGACTGGGTGACACTCAGTTCCGCTGGGGTGCGGGGGGCGGGGGGGGGGGGCGTGGGGGGAGGGGGCATTGTTGGATTTGTGTATCTGAGGCATGCCGCTGAACATGTCTCTCATCAACTCCGTGGTTGTTGCCTTTCATGTGCGGCTCCCTGGCAGGTCGTTTTTGTTTAAACCTTTCCGGCATTGCTTGTGACGGCCTGGGCTAATTCACCAAGGCTCGTGGCGGAGAATGAAGAGTTTGAACGGAAGGAGAAGATGATGCAATTCGTGTCCGTGTTCCATGCACAGTGCAGCAATCCCCGTGACGAGCAGAGGATTCGCCAAGCCATTCGCGGATACGAGCGGGAGGCGACTCGGGAGTTCGGGTTGGAAGGATTGGTCTTCAAACCAGGTTGTTTCACGCCGCGCCTTCCCACTTGATATGGAACAGGGTCCCTTTGAAAGGGAAAGGCCAACCTTTTGCATGCGGATACCAGGGTTAGGATCCATTTTCAGGTGGACACGGTCATTGGGATCCTCATCAAGGCAGGCGCCTACACCCCCAGCTTGCGAAAGGAGTGGGACGCAGGGCACGACTTGACGGGCGCAGGCTACACGGATGTGTCCGTGACCATGGTGTATGCATCTGGGCTGTCCATGTGCGGGCTGCGTGGGTTGCTGGCTGCCGGCTGCTCCTCCATGTATCTTATGAGGGAGTTCCAGTGTTCTGTGGTTTGGCCACAGTTGTGAGGGTGAACCACGCACTTTGGACATCCAGGGAGGTTTTCCCATCCAGTTCCATTTGCATCCTTTGTCTTGTTTGTCGGCTTGAGGGGATGCGTCCTGCGCACTCCTGAGGAGGCCATGAAAGGGCTTGTAAGCCAGTGTCAACCGATTGAAAGAACCGACAAGGTCTTCTTGAAGGTAAAAAAGGAATGTCTGGCGACAAGTTGCCAGAATTCTGGGGACGGTGCGGTTGTTGGCCATTTTGGTGGTTTTTCTGAGAGTCAGTTTTGGGCTTTATCATTGTCTATTCCAGTTTGCAACGTCTTCTCATAAGCGCCATTTTTCAGTCTTCGCTTTTTCTTGGGACATTTCGGGGACGTTTTGGGTACGCGGTTTTGGCGATTGTGGTCTTTTTGCCTTCGGCCGGTCGTTACTGAGGGTGGGTCTTGGGTTGGGGGTGCTGTTGCTGGGCGGGTTTAGGGCTTGGAGCCAATTTGTGGTAGGAGTCCTGCTGGTATGGGCCCCCCTAACCCTCCCTAAAGACCAGCCCCGAAGAACTCCCAAGCCCAGCACTTGCCCCAACCCAGAAGCGCCCTTGGTCCAGGTGATGCTGGGGATGTTTCCAGCCCTCAGAAGAAAAAAAAGGAGAACAAAAAAAACAGCGCCAGGAAGAAACCCGCCAGAACCAAAAAACATCCACAGCTCTAGTCTACCGCCTATTCCACTGCAGGCAGTGGTGGGCTGGGTCTTGGTCACCCTCGATACCATCTCGGACGCCTTTCTGTGGAGCACGTTCTCCTGGGGCTTCGCGGCGCTGGGTGTGGTCTGCTGCGCGTCGGCGCTGGCGGCGACTGGGCCCGAATGAGAAGGCCCCGCTGTCTGCTTTTTCCTTTCTTTCGAGGGCTGGGACAGGGAAACTAAGGCTTGGTTTGGTGTGTTTGGAGAGTGTGGTTTTAACAGGGAAACGGAAGGCACATTGGGGGGAGTTTCTTATCAATCGTTGATTTGGGGGAATCAAAAGTGGCACTGAATCGTTGGGTACCAAGTTGAACCTTTGAGGTAAATGCGGGTCTGTCCCTGAGTCGCCGAGTTGGCGATAGGGTTGGTTTTGGGCCTCTCTGCCTCATGTCGGGGGTAGGGGGGGAGGGGGGCACGGCCCTGGCTGTTTCCTGACTGGTTTTAAAAAGGAAACATTCCTCAAAACCATGAACGTATGGCAAGACATGCGTTTTTTGGAAGGGGTCAAGTCAAAGTTGAGTGAACCGGGACCAAACCAATTCTAGGAGAAAAGAGACATGATTGGGATAGGTGCACCACAGATTTTAGTCTATTTTAGTGGGGAGGGATATGTTCACTGGGGGTATCTATTGTTGACCCACAGCCACATGGCAACATCTTCGGGCAGAAACACGGCGCTTGCTCCATGGGTGTTGAGCTTCCCCGAGGTCCCGGTGTGCACGATTCGCCTCTACTCCCGGGGTCCGGACCGGGCAGTTTTCGCGCTGGCCTGCTGGACCATTGCATGCCTGGCAGCTGCTTGGAGTGTAAGCCCGCTAGCCGGGGTTTCCGAGCGGTCAGTCCTTTCTGGTGTGCCGTCATGCAAAGGATTTCCATTGGGTAACTCTCCCATCGTTCGATATGCTTTGTTTTGTCCTGTTGGTTTGTTGGAGGGAAACAACCGCACCATTGGAACCCGACTGGAGGCAACCGGTTGACTACTTTCCTGAAGGGACCGGGACTTTGCGAGTGGCACAAAAGAAACAGATGGATTTGCATCGATTCGTTTTCTTCTCGCAGGCCGTTTTTCGGTCCCGGCAGTTGGGCCGAGACTCAACCTCCGCAAGGGCGCTCATGAGAGTTGCGTGTCATGGACCTGGGTGAACATCATTTAGGTGGGGATTCACGCCCACCACCCGCTTTGGAGGTGGGTTCCCTGGTGAAATTCCTGGCCCCGTACAAATATCCAGACAGACTTCCATTAAAGTATCCAGACCCCGCCGCGTGAAAATATGTAGACCCCCCCCCATTGGAATATCCCGACCAAGCCAGCAGCGGATGGGACATTTTATCTGGTGTCCAGAACCCCTCCCCCCATTGGGGCATTTTGCAGAAACATGCAGACCGCCCACCCATTTTACCTGCCCCCAGCATGATTGGGCATGTTTCCGGGTTTCTCCAGACCTCCCATGTGATTTGACCCTGGGACATCTTTCTGAGTGCCAGGTGAGTGAAAGCAAGTTGCACAATTCCAACTTCTGTTGGTTTCTTCCCCGTTACTTGCCCACATGGGGATGTATCAAAATAGAGGTACCCTTAAATGGTTTCGGTTTTTCTTTGGGTTTCCCTGTAACAAAAGCTTCAAACATACACCAGCTCCAACAAATCGTGGAGCAAGGATGCAGCTTTCACCGTTTTCCTCCCGTGTTTCCTGGTCCATCGGCGCCAAACGAGGCTTTGCTGCTGCCTTTCCTCTCCGTGTTGGTGGGCTGGGACGAGGCGAACAGCGTGAGGCTGGAAGCGCTCTTGGACGGGTTGACCGAGGCTCTGCCAAAGGGCCTGACCTTGGGTCGGCCCGGAGGGGGGGGGGGGGGCGATGGCCCTTTTAGTGTCGCAATCCCGGCCCATATTTCGGGTGTCTTAGTTCGAAGCCCCAAGGAATCCATCCGAGTTTCCGAATTTGGAGAAGCCGAATTCCCCTTTTGGCGGTAGCATCTGGCCCATTTTATTTGTGAGTTCACCTTGGTAAAAGTGATGTTTTAGGCTGGAAACCAAGGCAGCCCTGGGCGTGTGGGTTTGGGGGTCGTTCTATCAAACCGGGGACTCCTGTTCGGGGAGAAACAGGGAAGCGAGGAAGCCAGATTTTGCTTTCGGAGATATTTCGGCAAATTGTGCCCATGGACCCAAATTCATTCCAAGGAACTTTTGTTGAACCTTCAAGCAATCTGCACGGATCGGCTTGGACCCAGCAGACAAAGGATGGATGTTCAGCTAATGAAGATCGGTTGCGATTCTAGGGCTCCGCGTGGCCGGGGGTGCCTCATTCTTGGGAGGTGTTTGAGAGTTGCGGGTAAGTGGCCGATGAGATACCCACTTGAAATCCAGTTTACAGCTATAGCCTTGGTGATAAGAATCAAGCTCTATTGGTGTCATAAGACGGTTCTGTTTCGGAGGGTTTCCAAGTGGATCCCTTCAGAATATTTCCCTAGGCGGATGCAAGCATCATTTTCCTAGTCGGTGATGGGGGTGTTTTTGGCAACACTTTTGTGCCCTTGTAGTGTGTACGCATTTTTTGTTGGTTGCAAAACAGGGGTGTTGGGGAGATTTTGGTTCTGGATTTCCGGGGGTTTGGGGCCTGTCTGAGGACACCCTGGAGCCGCAGACGCCGCCGGACTTTGTGGTGCTGGGGATTCTGCTGAGCAGGGCCTGCGTGGTGAGTGTTACGTGGGTGGCGGCGCTGGCTGGGCCCTCCTCCTGGAACAGGTGTCGCCTGAAGTTGGGTGGGGCGGGCATGGCAGGGGGGGAACTGGGTCCCTCGTTTCGCACCAAGGACTTCCCTCCTTTCTTTTGATCTTTTCTTGGGGGATTGGGAATGGAAGCAATCACTTAGGGGTGCTTCATTTGAGCCCTGAAAAAGGGGCGAGAGGGAGAGGGCAGAACGCGGACCTTCACTGCTGCACAGCCAGCCTTTTTGGCGAGTCTTTTGGAGACCTCGTTTTGGCTGGTTTGAAAGAGAAGCCAAAGTAGGCAGTTATTTTGGATGCCAATTTGAGACACTTTTTGGCCCATCCCCCAGGTCCTGGATGGGCCGGCGTCGGCGGATTTGCCCGCAGTTCGATTCGGAGTCCGACTCCGACTCGGAGTCCGACTCCGACGCGTCGGAGCTGGAGGGGGTGCTGGCCGTGCGGGTCAGCAGTGAACCAGGAGGCTTGCGGAGTTCGGAACACCTTGATACCGACAAAAGAGGGTGTTTGAAGTGTTTGGGGGTTAAATGTTGGCCGCAGCCTGAGGATGAGCCATCCCGGGTGCTTCGCAAACATTGATCGGCCGTCGCACGGCAGCTCAGCACTTGCCGCGCAAGATGTGCACTTCAGAGGGTCGCCCAGCAGGAGGGTGGCAACCGGATCCGGTGCCGACGGGGACGCAGGGATGCTCACTCAGCTCATTGCGAACGGACGGCTTGAGTTGGGCTTCCAGAGACCAAAGAGTCTCAGGCGGTGCGCCAAAAGCGCCAGCAGAAGCAGGTGAAGCATGTGAATCGGGTTTCAGGGCTGACCTGATTCATTCTTTTTGCGGAGGTCTGCCAGGCGTGAAGGTGAATCCATGCAGGGTTCGAGCGGAGCCCCTCTCAATGGGCTTAATCGGGGCTTTCCGGCCCGCGCCAGGCCAACAAGAAGAAGAGGTGAGGTCTAGCGGCGAGATGCAGCGACCGCGGTGGAAAGCGGGGACTCGGCGCAAGGTTGCTTCTTGGTGGTTGGGGGTGGGGGGGTTCGAGGGGTGGGGTTCGAGGGGTGGTGGTGGCGGTGGTGCCTCTGCTGTTTGTTCCGCTTGTGTTCCCGCTTGTTGGCTGTTTACATTGGTTGTGAGGTGGTTTCCTGCCGTTTGAATTTGGGCATTGCGCTTCTTGCAGCAGTTTGTGTGTCTCCATTTCTAGATTGAGACACGCCCACCACTCACACATTGTATGAGAGTTCTTCAACCTTTCAGTTGGCTCAGAACCCGACTCAGAGGCCCAGTCCCTTAGCAACCTGCCCCAGACGGCTTCGAACTGTTCATCCCATTTCCAAAAAATGGTACGGGAGGGGAACCATAGCCCACTTCGAGGACGCGTCCCTTGGGTACCTAGAGGCCTACAGGGTGGGCAAAGGTTTTGCCCCGACTGGCAGCAGATGTTGGGCCCCCCCACGTGGCGTTTTGGATTTGGCATCTCCCCCTCGTTCCTCTCCATGCGGATCGATGTGCCGCAGCCGTCCCACAACGAAGTCGCCGGCGCGCCCGGTCTCGGCCTCCGCGCGGGCGTGCGGCCATGCGCCGGGGCCCCAAGGGGCCGGGGGGCCTTGGATCCCAGGCCGGACATGGGGCTCATCCCCGAGCCAAGGGTCAGCCTTCAAATTGACCCTCCGGGAACGCTGAGGAGCCCCTTTCCGACTTCTCCGGAATGCCTCACTTGGAAGAAGGCTTCCGGACCTCCCGAGATTTTCAATGTGGCACCTTTGGGGCCCGGCTGATTTGCAACGAAACCTCCGGGGAGAAACCCTCCGGGGAACATTTGGCCGTGGGTCAACACCAATGGGATCCCATTTTGGGGTAGGTGCACCGCCCATTTTAGTCGATTTTGGTGGGGATTGGGATGTTCACTGGGGGTATGGGGTTTGACCCATAGCCACTGAGAATATCAAAGGGAGTCTTCTGCTTGACGTGAGGCGGAGCATGGGCCTGCCTTCTGTTGTATCCTGCTGGGGAGCCCAGACGCGCCAAGGTTGACCGAGTTCCGCCACACCCCATTCCCCGAAGATCCCTTGCAAAGGAAGGGGTGCCGGATAGGGGGGCTTCTTACGGGGTTGTTCTTTTTCTTTGTTGTTCAGGGTGGTATCCGAATCAGACTGTTTTTCCAGAGAGTAGACTTGATGAACCAGGAAGCGGTATTTTTCTTCTCTGAGTCTCTTGGGTGAAAAACCACAGAATCAATGGGGCGTCAAATCAGAGATAAGAGTCCAATAGAAGGGCGGTTTATAATTCACCAGATCCGTCATGGACGGTGCATGGGCATCAGATGACGTTTCAATCAGTGGGTTGATGAATGGGGACTTTCTAGTCAGGGGTTTATTACTTCGGAGAATGACTAGTGAAGGCTTCTCAATGAGGGGTTTCATTCATCAGGGCGTTTACCAATGACGGCGGGTTGCTTGTTCATTTTGTTTTTGTGGTGCGGGGGGGGGGGGGGGGGGGCGCGGGTGATGCAGCATTGGGGTCATAAACTAGGGCTTTTGTGGAACACGGGGGATGTATTCAGGGCGGTTTATTGATAATTGAGGCGTTTGTCAAACGGGGAGGGGGGGATTTTGGGTATTCGTGACCAGGTTGGCTTTTCAAGCTGGCGCTTATTCATCAGAATATTAATTCAGAAAGGGTTCATGATAGTGCAATGGGCTTCTTAATCAGGAAGTTATGAATCGGGATATCAGGTGGTTCATTTCTCAGAGGGTTTACTGTTTAAGGGCTATTGATTCGAGGTTTATCGATCAGATCGGGTGAGGAAGGGGGGGGAGGGTATGACGCGGGAGGCGGTGGACCCGGTAGACTAAAGGGAAACGAGGGCCATATGTATCAGGTGTCTTTTGGCCAAGGCCCATGCACTGGCATCCAAGTTGCCCTTTGCCGTCCGTCCCTAGGTTCAAAGATTGAGAACTGCCCACAGCTGTCTCAGAGACCGACGACTTTACTCCCGTCTACCGCCATGTTCCGTCTTCTCTTGGTATTTGTCTCGGTGCTCATGTGCTCCGGGACGCCTACCTCCCCGGACTCCCAGTGCACCGGCCTTGCGGACTCCCGCGCGTCGGCCTTACTGCAAAGCGGCCAGGCGCGCGGCCATTCCGAGGAAAAGGCTGAGGAAGAAGAGCAGCTTGAGGATCAGCAGCAGTCCACCTGGTCACGCCGGCGCAGGAGCCGACGCAGGGTAACGACGACAACGACGACAACGACAACTACGCCTGAATGGAATGGCATTCTGAGCGATGAGGTCGCCAACCTTTCTCATACGGTTGAGAAGGTGGAAGCTCAGGTGCTTCGCCTGGAGAATGAGCTGCACAGCCTCACGAACTCCTCGAGCTCGAGCTCGTAGCTCGAAGTCCAAGTTCCACCTAGGAACACGCCAACCTGAACAGAGGGTTAGCACTAGATCACTGTATCGACAGGTGACTCGTAAGAATGAGCCTGAGAGTCAAATAGCGGGGCACAGGCTGAGGGAGGGGGAGGGGCGTCATTTCTGCAACCGCGGAGGGGCGAAGGCTTTTGCATGGCAGCTCGCCTTTTCAAACTCAATCGACCTTTTGACCTTTTGGCTTCATCAGGTTGGGTCCATGTCTTTTGGTCAAGGCCCCAAAAGGTGATCTCCTATGTGGTATGTTTGCGTGTTTGTTTGTGCGTGCATGCGCATGTGCTACACCTGTTAGTCAAAACTGCCTTACAACCGTGGCTGTAGAGCTATTTGCACTGCGTTCCTTTGCTTCAGCGCTTGCATCAATCCTGTGAATCTCCGTTTGCTGCATGGGCGATTTGTTTTGCAGATGCTAGGCTGTTGGTCTCTCAAGGCTGGCGGTTCTCAGAAGCACCGTCCACGCCGAAACGGACACTTGCATGGGGACCAGTTGTGCGGCTTTGCATGTACACGCGTGCGAGTTCAGCGTGCACAAGCTTGTGTGATAGACATGTTGGCCTTCAGATTTGTTCGTAGTAAAAAAGGCACTGGTTCAGGTATTCAGAATTGGGTGGTGGTGGTATTAGTCAGGAGGGTTTGAGAAATGATTCTGGGGGGTTTTGCAATAAGGGGGTTTCTCAACTCAGAGCGGGTTGGAATGTGCCTTTAACATAAAAACAAGAAAACGCTTACTGTGGGTAAAAATTCGGCACCCAACATGGACGCCTGGTAAACAGAAACATGGACCAAAACCTGCGGTCCCGCGGCTTAATTTTGACCCATACCGGAATGGCTGTGGTTGTCAAAACCAATGGGATCCCATTGTGGGGTAGGTGAATTCACCACCCATTTTAGAACCTATATTAGTGGGGATTGGGATGTTCACTGGGGGTACGTTTTGGATTTTGACGTATCCTTCACCTGAAGTCAGGACTCCGACCTGGTCGGGGCTTCCGCGGCCCAGGCAACAGCTTCCCTGCCCTGGGAGACCACCGTCACCACCACCCAGCTGCCCGGCATTCCCGTGCAGGCGCAAAAATCTCCAGCAGTCCGTGTCGCCGTGCAAGCCTATGGCATTGAAACACAAAAACTCCAAGTTGGTGGGATGTTCCCTGAGAGGGTAGGGAAAACGGTTGGTTTCTTGAACTCCTTGTTGGCTTGTTTGGGATCTGATCAAACGGAAAAAAACGGCCACCAACAAGCTGGAAGGAGTTGGAGCGCTTTCTTGGCGGGGCGGCAGGAGGTTTTCCTTCTGGCAGGTGTTGCCGCGGGTGACCCCCCAGGAGCTGATCGGCTCGCTAGAGGCTCCTGAGGCTGAGAGAAGGCGGTTTTCAGGTTTGCGTCGCGGGTTTCTTTTTTCGGGTTGCCGGGAGAGACAACCCCATGCGGAGCAGCCCAATGGGAGGGCGAGCATGTGGCATTGTGATCTTGCTCCTCGCTTTTTGGGCCGTTTCATTCAGCGAGGCGCCGGCCTTTTCCGTTTCAAACTGCCCTTCGAGTGGCAACATGCGCTGCCAGGGAAAGCCCTGGCGGCTTGAACGTTGGAGCTTTGCCTCCAAGTCTCCAAGCGGACTCCATTGGGTACCAGACTTTGTAGATGTCATCATGGTGCCTTCCTTGGCCTTTCAAACATGGTGGATAATCGGGGTTTGGGCCCGTGTGTAGGGAGAAGGGAACCTCCGGTATGACAAGGGTTCTTTTCCCCAGCCAGCTGAGAAACGGGACGGGGGGATTCCATGATTTCGTTTGGAACATCACCCCTTTGGGCCATTTTCTTCGCTGAGTTTCCTTTGGTTTTCTTTGGTGTTTTTCTGCTTTGAGGGGAGGGAATGACTCGAGTCGGCATGTCCTGCGGTGCCACCTAATGTTAACTCCGGATTAATAAACCCCTGGTTGATTTTTTTGGAATGTGTCCCCTTTTAGTGGGGATTCATCACTTTTGGAGGGAACCCGCCCCTAATAATGGGACAGGTGTATTAATCCTGGGTCAGCATTATCACTCAAAACCCCCGCGAGTTTGAGGAGCTTCGTGGGTTTCGTCGTGTCCTCAGGAGCTGGCTCAGCCCGGCGCCGAGCTGGCGGAACAAGCGGCAGGCAGA